GATGACAGGAGATATGGGAGGTTCGACTAGCAAGAAGAGGTATGAAATTCGTTTGTAGGGGCTAGGAGAGGAAATGGACCATAATAAGAATGCCAGGCATCCTCAAGGGTCCACTTGGGGTTTAGGAATAAAAATGTAAGACTTAGGCATTTGGTTAACCTTGGCTTTCATAGTGAGAAAATCTGGTTTATTTAACCATTCACATGTATGGCATGATAATAGGAACCTTTTGGTACAGAGGTCATGCTCCCTGGTCTGCAGAAGCTAGCACTGTTTCTGTTTGTTTTTTTTACTGTCATTTTAGCTGATAGTGACTTTCAGCTGGGGGCAGTTTTGCCCCGCAGGGGATATTTGGCAATGTCTGGAAACATTTTTGTTTGTCACAGCTTAGGCAGGGGTTGTTACTGGCATCTGGTGAGTAAAGGTGAGGGATGCTACTAAACATCCTCCAAGGCACAGGACAGCCTTCCACAGCAAAGATTGGTCTGGCTCAAAATGTCACTAGTGCAGAAGTTGATAAACTCTGAGCATATCATGGTCCAAAGTTGTCGGAATTTCACGTTTTTTGTTTGCTAACCTTGTTTCCTTTATTGTCCTTGACTTTCACAAAGTAAGATTATCTTGAGTTGTGAAAATATACATATCACTTCAGCCCTTTTAGATTTTAATTGAGACAAGAGGGAGGATTTTTTTTTTATTCATTCTCAAGTGTAGGATTAACTTAATGTTATCAGAAGTAAATTTGGAATAAAGAATTTTTTACCTTTATACATATAATAGCATGATATTCTCAAGCTTGAGCCTGAGGCCAGTATTATCTTCACTTGGGACTTGGGGATACTTTGTACTGAATTTCAAATGAACTTTGAGTAATAAATAGGAAGTATTAGTTCTCTCTTTCAAATTGTGACTTTAGAAGGTTTCAGAGACTCTGTCTTATCTGAATTAACTCTCAATCCTAAAATTTAGCTTATATCTACTACAATGCCTAATGACTGGGTAGAATTTAAAAAGTGAGACTTAAACTTCATTCTCAAGTCTTGGTAGATAGGAAAAATCAGAATAATGAGAGTAAGAAAATTCTTCTTAATGCCATTTTTTTTATACCTCCTGCTTTCTTTGTGAGCTCTGGCAGTCTCACGTTACTGTGAGTGTGCCACCTATGTGTGTGTTGTGTGTATAAGCAGTATGGAGAGTTGGTTCACTACCTTCCCTCACCCCACTTACAGAGATACAGTGAAACTCAAGGGATTTGGGATTCCTAGTAACTGAAAGGCTATCAGTGTTGATGTTTGAATTTCAGAATGATAAAAATTGATCCTAAATGTCTTTCAGTGCTTTAAAAATAAAAACAAAACATTGATTCTTTGGAATGCTAACAGTATAGAGCTCTAGGCAGACAAACGTTAGAAAACAATAGTGATAACCCATGCCATCATTTTTTAATTCCACCAGCTTTGTTTACTTGAGTTTTTTTCAAGTGATCTTTCATAGACCCTCTCACATAAAAAGGTGTCATAAAAACCTCAAATTTTGAATGTTTTCTTTTCAATTTTACCTTATGATCATTTTATATTCTTTAATTTAGTTGTATTCCAACAGCTGGCCAGGAGAGGGCGCAAAAGAACTTTGGATTTTTACACTTCTAAATTAAGTGAACTGGTATATTATTTTAATTTGATTTGATTACGAGTTTAGTGTTTACTTTGACAATTCATTTTATGAACCATTTGATCCCTGAAAGTGTTGTAGGTATTCAGAAAGCTTTGTCATTATTAATTCATAATGTATTTAATTTATTAAGCATCATTTTATTGAATGTGTATTGAAGATTTGAGTGCAAGATAGTGTGTTAGATATGGAGGATTACAATATTGTGATTTATAAGAAATGTATATTTGTTCATTCAGATGACCAAATATATATTTCTTAGGTATATTTGGTCTTCAGCTACAGTTCCCAGCTCGCAGCTCCCACAACACTAGTATTCCTAAGTGTAGAGAATGATAAAGGTGACTTTTGTTACAGTAATGAGGTAACTTTTGGAAAGCACCTAAGGATGGGGCTGTTTGCTAATGGAGTCAGCCAGTGATTAGAGGATTGGAACTGTCATGCTCATTTCCCCGACCTCCTGGGAGAGGAGAGGGGCTTGCAGGTTAAACCAGTCTCCAGTGGCCAGTTGATTTAATCAGTCATGCCTCTGTAATTAGCCTCCATTAAAAACCCAGAAGGAGAAGGTCAGAGAGCTGCCAGGTTGGTGGGTACGCGTGATTTGGGGAGAGCGGTGTTCTTGGGCAGGGCATGGAAGCTTCATGCCCCTTCCCCACACCTTGCCCTGTGCATTTCTTCCATCTGGCTGTTCCTGGGTTATATCCTTTTGTAACAAACTAGTGACCTAGTAAATAAAATGTTTCTGAGTTCTGCGAGTGCTGTAGCAAATTAATGAGACCTGAAGAGGGGGATCTTGAGAATCTCTGATTTACAGAAGTACAGGTAACAGTGTGCTTGTGACTCGTCTATAAAAGTGCAGGGTGAGGGGGGACAGTCTTGTAAGGAAGGATGAGCCCTTAGAACCCTTAATCTGTGGAGTCTGATGCTATCTCCTTGTAGATAGTGTCAGAGTTGCTTGGTGTTGTGTGGGAGCCTCCTCGTTCCCCCCACACACCTTGGAATTGGGTCTAGGAACTTAAGGTATAGAAGGCATGGACCTCACCCTGGAGCAGTCTTTCAGACTAGTTATTATAGGAATGGTTTCACTGAAGAAGGATTGAAATAGAATTGAGGAGTTTTATTCTGTAACCATGTTGTCAGGGATGAGATTGGAGACAGAATTAAGGTTTGGAGAGACCCTAGGGATGATGTAGTCTAGTTCCTCTTTTCATAAAGGAACTGAGACCCAAAGATGACAAACTTAGTGTACTCAAAGTTAATTAGTTTTGTAGAAACAAATGATCATAACTATAAACATAAGAAAAGTTTGAAATCGTGTAATAGAAAGTTTATAGTTCACAGGATTTAATTTTTTGCAGGAGAGATTAACCATTCAGGGAGTCTAATTTAAAATTAATACTATAGCCATCAGCGTTTATCATTTCCTAGACACTGTAGGGTATGGCACATTAATTATTAATCTACCAACAACAGAATGAAGTAGGTATTATTCTTATTCTAAAAGTAATATCTAAAGTTTTTTGAGCCTGATTAAGTGTCAGGCTAAGCATTTTACTTACAGTATCTCATTTGAGCTTCTGAAGAAGCCAATGAGGTCATTACTGTTATTCATTTACTGATGAGAAAACTGAGTTCTAGAAAGTTATGTGATTTCTCTAAGGGCATTGATCTTAATATTATGTAAGATAGTTACTTGAGATAGAGTAGGAGAAATGAACCATTAGGAGAATAGATTTAAAAAATTTTTAGTCTGAATGGTTTGAGGACTAAAAACAAAGACTTCACCAAGCATATCATCCAATGGCATATCTTGTGTGAGAATCTGCCAATATACAATAACTTTGAGGGTTAAGTCTGGGTTAAATATTTACTCAGTATCCATATGCCAGACGATGTCTTTGGTGCTAGAACACAAAGGATGTTGGACTTGCTGTCAAGATGCTCAAATCTATACCCTTACTACAGGAACTCATTCTACTACAGTCAGCTGATTATAGTACAATAGTCCAACTCATTGCTGTATGGCTGGCAAGAACAAAGTAATAAGACAATGTAGGGAATGGCTGTCTGAGAGAAAAGAAAGACTAAATGATGTTTTACAATGAGGTGACATTTGAGTTGGAACTTTAAACAAGATAAGCATTTCATTGAGGAGATAATGTGGGAGGAGAAAACATGAGCCAAAGTGTAAAGGAATGAAAGTTTGTGCTTTATTCAGGAAACAAAGGATGTCTGTGTGGCTAGGCCATAAAGCGAATAAGCTGCCCGGTTGGGGTTAGATAATGAAAGGCCTTCTGTGTCTTGCTAAGGAATTCGGTCACGATATTACAAGCAGTTGGGAAACACTGAAGTTTGTTGTTTGGATATATCTAGACATATACAAACGTAGACTATGGGATGAACCCTTGTGAACCCATCACCCAACTTCAGCAGTTAATAATAACACATGGCCAATCTTGTGTTATCAATAGGCCCTACTCTCCCTCATCATATTTTGAAACAAATCCCAGACACTATATTATTTCTGCTATAAATATTTTTCATTAAAAAATATCAAATATCCAGTTAATGTTCAAATTTCCAATAGTTAAGTAGCTCTCATACTTTTTAAATGATAGTAGTCCACACACTGAAATTAATTGTTTCTCTCAAATCTCTTAATCTGTAGGTTCTTTATTCAGCTCTCTTTTTTCCCCCTTGTATTTTATTTGTTGAGGAAAATGGGTGGTTTGTCCTGTAGAGTTTTGTACAGCTTGGATTTTGCTGATTGCATCCTTTCGATGTTGTTTAATATGTTCCCCTGTCTCTGTATTTCTTGTATTGAATTTAGAGGCTTGATCGAGTCAGGTTTGTTTTCTGTGGAAAGATAGCTTCATGGATGGTGGGTGGTATGTTTTTTCATTAGGAGGCACATCATACCAACTTTATCCATTAATTTCTTAGGGTTTATAAAATGATGCTATTTGTCTTGCTTACTCAACAAATTGAGGAATTTCATAGGTCAGGTCAGGGATCCATTGTGTCCTTAAATCATTTTAGGACTGGGCCAACTTATATTACAAAATCAATATTTATTGGCCAGAGCAAGAGATCTTGGGTGAATATCTGTTTATTATTTGACTTACAATGGTTATTGACTTTTCACTCTTCTTAACCTTCAATAAACTAGCTCTTTGTGATATTTTATGTAAAAAATAGTCTCTATTAATGAATATGTCTAGAATATTTACACTTACGATCCTGAAATAGTTTTTGTCAAAATGGAGCAGATGTAGTTCAGAAGATATATAAGGTCTGCAAAAAGATTCTAAGTGTCTCTTGTTTTGCAGGCTTCTTTCATCTCATCATGTTTTACCCCAATCACACATCCACACAAGTGCTTCTCTTGACATTTCCCGGAAATGGGAGAAAAAGAATAAAATTGTTTATCCTCCACAATTACCTGGAGAACCTCGGAGACCAGCAGTAAGTTTGTGGTAGAAATAATTTCTTAATTTTGATAAAGCTCTCTCTCATGTGACTAGCAGTGATTTATTATTCCAAGTTAAGAAAAGAAAATATATAGTAATTTGCATGATCTTTTAAATTATAAAGAAAATGTACTAGATTTATCTCTTTGGCAGTTTAAAAAGATTGTGTTTTTGTACCTATTTGTTTGTCTTTGCGTAACCTCCTTGGATAAGGGCCTTATTCTAAAATTGTGCTAATAGTTTGAGACTTACTGATTTTTGATTTCAAGAGCCTTGCTAATGATAATTCTTGATAATGGAGAATGAAGAGTTGGCAATAATGATTTAAACATTGGCCAATATTTAAATCATAAATGGTTTTTCCAGTGTTTTATATTTGAATAGAGACACGGTTGTTTTGTACTTTACAAACCTTTGAACCTAAGGTTTGAATTTAATCAGAGATACTGAGTTTTATCTTTAGTTGCTCAGAATTCTTTTACTCTCTTCAGACTGCTAGAGATTGCTCCAGTCTGAGGTATAAGACTAATTTCCAGCTTAACGTGAATTTTCTGTGGAATACATTTACATCTCTTAAAAAGTTTACGCAAGTAGTAATAGCATAAACAAGATGGGCACATTTGAATCCTTAAGAAAATAAACTGTGTTAAGTACTTTAGAAATAGAGTTACTGTGTTAATTATGAATCACTCAATTCAGCAAACATCTTTTAAAGGCCTTTGGGACTGAAGGCTACTAGATAATCAATATCATCTAAGTATTGTAATTTGCTTGGCTTTTATATGAACTTGACAGCATACATTTTTCTTAAGTTTCAATTGGTTTGATCAGTACAGTTTTATGTTGTATTTCTTATTTAGGGGAGTTAATTTATTGATTTAAAGAGTTCCCACCTGATTGGGAAATATGAGGAGAAAGATGCTAATCGTTTAAACAAATAAATTTTTAACTTTCATATTTTATCATGCTATCAGAACTTAAAAGTTAAGTTTATAATAGAAGCTGTGCTATTAAGTGTTGACTCCATTTTGTAATTAACCAAATTTTATAAAAAGTTACACATTTGTACAATTATGATAAATAAAATATTTCCTATAATTAGAGTTCTTCTTACTTGACCTCTTTGAACTTAGATATTAATTGGAAATAAAGAAATCCTAACCGTTTGTCAGGTCCAGAATCTAAGAGCAAAATTTTGTGTTTTGTGGTACTAGTCTTTTTTGGATATTAAAACAGATATACTCCAGGATACATCCAAAATGTCAAAATTAAAATAATTAACTTCAGACATGAAGAACAATGTCAGTGCAATCATTTATGTATTGTATTGCCTGAAAGTATTTTGATTAACTTTTTTGTATCATTTATACTCATTATTGTACGAATGCCTGTGTGAAGACATTTGGTTTGATTTTATATAGGCACTTTGGAGAAATTAATTTAAATTTTTATTTTGCACAGATTTTGTTTGAGTAATCTTTTTCGGGACAAATACTTTTGGAAAATACTTTAACATTTTCTGACTTTAAATAATATTTGGTAAATTAACTTTGACGTATCACTTATACCTGTTATGAATGAAATTTTAATGTCTTCCATAAATACCAACCTTATTAATGGAATAATTAGCTACATAGTTCATACATTGTGCCATTACGTGCAGTGTCCCTTAGACTTACCAATCTGTTAGCTGCAACATTTTAAAATTTAGTTTTATGACTAATTTAAAAGAGGACCAGATAATATTTACCATTCTACCCCATTCTGAACTTCAGCACTGGAATATGTGATTAAACAAATAATAATGGATGGAGTAATCAGTAAATCTTTCAGCAGTAAGTTAAAATGAATGTCACCAATTTAGGCATGTTTTAAGCCACTTCTGTTATTTTTAGAACATACCTGCCTATTTTAGCTAGCACAAATTTCCAAACAATGTAAATTCCTATGTAGACTTGATCTTACATGTGTCTTCATCATGGTAAAGAAAATAAGCCAGAGAGAAATTAATAGAGTTTCTTCATAATAATCATACTTTGTTAATTTGGGCTTGAGTTTACTTTTGCAGTATCTTTTAAGAAAGCTATTTTAAATAAACTAAAAATGTTGTGAGACTATATCAAAACCGTTTTAACATGAACAACCATTTCTATAAGAGGCATATTTAAAATTTTTGGATTATTTGGAATAGTGATAAAAAGCCATGCTTAGCCATCATTAATGTGGATTCCCATAAGGCTTTAGTACGAACTTTTATTAATTAGGTGACTTTTTTTCATCGTTTGAGTTATTATATACATTTAGAAATATATTAATTTCTTTAAAAGTTACTAGGATGGGGAGCATGACATAGGGAATGCAGTTAGCAGTAATGTAATGGCTAGATGTATAGCCAGAGGAGAGAAAGAGTAACTTGGAGGGTTGTTTCATAAACTATATAAATGTCTAACAAATGTACTGTATATTTGAAACTAATAAAAAAGTTACTGGTTTAGACATTTCATAATTTAGACTTACTTTTACTTCATTTGAATAATTATTTTGTGCATTATATCCCAACTTTGCATCTTTTACCATATAGGTTAGATAATAGCAGTGATATTTAATCAGGTCTTCTAACCTCCAGGTTTACCATGTTATGTGCCACATTAGGTTTATTTATTGAGACTTTGGTTTATGTTCAGAAAGTACCCTTAGACATTGCACCTGCCCAAAGTAAATGTTGAGCTTTTTAGATTCAGAAGTGGATGATTGAATAACTTTCCCCTGTTTTGTAAACATTTGATTCCTTTTTCTCATGCTCTTGCCAGGGTTACAATGTATTTTTTACAAAATTTTAAGACAATCATATACAATTTAGGTTTAAAGATAGCCCACTATGAGACACCACGAAAGGTTTCTGTATAAAAGATTTTTTGAGCGTATTAATTTTTGCAGATTATTATTATCAGTCATGACAGTTCTTTTTTCTCCTGTGCTCCCCAGGACACTTTATTGCTGAAAATGTAATTGGGCTATTGCTACAGTTTTCAGCCTGTCAGCTTCTATTGCAACTGAAATGAAATCTGCTGTGTATTAAAAGATGGCCACTTGAGAAAACTGCTGTTTCTAAGGCATTTGAAAATTTCCTGCAGGAGTCAAAATGTTAGAAAATTCTCAAGTCTCCTGACTATTGTTTGCCTTGACAAATTTTTTTTTTTTTTTAAATTTTTTTTAAAGTATCGGTGTGTAGTTACTGGTATAGATGTTTCATAATGTAGACTTATTTTTACTTCATTTGAGTAATTATTTTGTGCATTATATCCTAACTTTATTGTATCGGTTAGTTAATAGCATATAGTAGTGGAAAGAAAGTGGGTTTTAGAGTCACAAGGGGAACTTTGAAGATATACCTCCCAGACACTGTATGAGGCACTTCACATACTTCCTTGTATGTGACTTCTAGCTTTGTCTCTCACAAACTTTGTGGTCTTGGGAAAGTCACTTGATTTCTCTGATTTTTCACTTCGTAAAAGGATTTTAAAATGTTTCCTTTTCCCAACTCATAGAGTTAGATCAAATAAAATAATGGGCTTGATTGCTTTGTGAACTATAAATTGTTCAATGGATGATTGAGTTAAAAATTAAATAGGCTATACCTACCACTATAAATAGAAGATAACAAAAGCTAGCATTTACTAAGATCTTACCATGTGCTAGGTACTATAAAATGCTTTCTTTACCTAAGTATTTTTATTTAATTCTTATTGTAGTTTTATGAAGTAGGTACTATTCATTTTAAAGAAGAAATTCAGTTAGAGGTTAAGTAGCTTGGTTTCTCTCATTAGTAAATGGTAGAGCTAAGATTTCAGTCCAGGCAGTCTGATTTTAGAACCTATGCTCCTGACCAAACACCTAGAGTATTGGGTTTTCTATGAAAAGTTATTTTGTCCATTTCTCCATTGTTCTTTTCACTAACAGGAAACTTTTTTTTTCTTGTTGTACCTTTTCTTTTGTTCTTTTAGCCAGCTAAATGTTTTTTAAATGCTTTCATTTAAATCTGTACTATTCCTTTGGATAGAATGTACATATTGGCACAAAGTAGGTATTTTATAGCTTCTACTTCTCTCAGTATTTTTTTAACATAGAGAAACTCTGGAAAAAATATAACTTTGTGTAGCGAAAAAATCTCCAAATTCTTAATGTTTTTTATTTCTTATAACAGCATTTTATTAGGCATAGAAAGTAAAAACTTTTTATTAACAGTTCATTACTGTTATTTTAATATAAACTTGCTAAGGCTTTTTTTTTCTTTCTATTTGTAAGGAAATCTACCATTGTCGAAGACAAATAAAGTACAGCAAAGACAAGATGTGGTATTTGGCAAAACTGGTAAGCCAAACTGACTATTACCCTATAATATTTAGGAAAAGAAGCTATGACTTTCCCCCCCAGATTTGCAAAATGAAAAAATTTCGCCATGATTTCTCTAAAAGTGAGGAATATAATTGTATGTTCAGACATTTGGTAGGTAATCCAAAAAGAATTGCTCAGAGAATTTACCTTGCTTCTGAGAAGCTTTGGATATGTAGATACTTAGAACAAAGCATCAGGAATCTGCTGTAACCAGAGAATCCAGAAAGCAAGCTTACTCACCTGGAAAAGGTGATTCAACCTGTTTCAGAACTGTTGCTTTTTAAGTTTTTTTCTCTGCAAAATGAAATGTAGATATGAGAGAAGACAAGAGCAGCAAATACTCATGTAACACATTTATCCTTTAGGAGAAAGAAATGGCCAGTGTGGACCTTGCCAATCCGTGATCTCTCTCTGTCATGTCTTCTCCCTCTGTTAATATTATTGAAACTTAACAACCTAGGTTCCCAATTTTACTGAGATATAATTAACATGTAACTATTTAGCTGTTTTTAGACGTTGTTTGGATTATGTAAGGCTTTTGCTTTTAATTAGAAAGGGAACACTGAATTTGTAAATTTTTCTCTTGTTCATCACCCTTGAATCTAGATACGAGGAATGTCCATTGACCAGGCTTTGGCTCAATTGGAATTCAGTGACAAAAAAGGAGCCCAAATAATTAAAGAGGTAAACTGAGATTTGGGGGGAGCTGTCTTGCAGGTGTTAGTAAACCCAGCTTAAATCCTGAATTTTCTGGTGTAAAATACATAGTTTATATAATACAGATTTAAGGCACTCAGTTTCATTAAGGTCCTTCCTTATACCTTATGAATGTTGTACGCTTTAAGCATTTTTTTTCTGAGGTGCTTTTATTTGCACCAGACATTTATATTTTGCTGTCTGTGATGTGATAAATCTTATTTTTAATGATTCGGGCTTGATATAATTTTTAGAAGATTTTTTTGGATCAGTTTCGCAACAGAGCTTAAGATTTCATGAGTAATTGAGTGGAAAGAACATTGGACTAGGACTCAGGAGACTTGGAGTCTAGTCCTTTCTCTAATTTTTCTGTTGTGACTATGGGCGAGACACTTAATCAGTCTGGTCCCTTTTTTCTTTTTTGTAAACTAGGTGGGTTTGAATGAGATGATCTTTAAAGACCCAGCTCTAAATGTATTGATTCACTATGTACAAATGTGCTAATGGTAATTGTACTGACTTGTTTCAAAAGGCTGGGTTGAGGACATCTAGAGATATAAGCATTATTTTATATACTTCAGTTAACTTTCTCACCCAAAGTCAGATCTTATCTTTTCAGATTAGTAGTTGAATAGTTGAAATTGATGGATTCAGATTTTTAAGAGATTCCATTGTAACACTTATATTTAATTCAATTCAAAATGCAGTTACTAAGCATCTGTTATGTACGCAGCATTATTCTGTGTTCTTTATCTTTAAAGAAGTGAAGATCTGGTTTCTGTTATTTCTGACGACAGCTGTCCTATTTTTAAAAGTATTCTGGAGGAAGTTAACTTAATTCAAAATATCTATAGAGTTTAAGTTTAATAATTCTTAAAGGAAGTTTTCAAGTATGATTTTTCTCTACTTGTCTGATGTTGTTAATAGTTACTTTGGATTCGAAGTTTAAGAATTTTCAATGAGATGTAGCTCTTGAGCTTCTTGAACATTTTGGCAAGTCTCAGACTTGAAGATATGACATCGATTTCCAAGGGTACTGCTATAAGAGTTGCTGTCTCCTCCATCACAGTTACACATTCCGTTTAAAACTTAGCAGAATGGACTGTATTCATTGCATTTGCAATTCATGTCTTAGGAAGGAAAGCTCACTGTTTCCCTTTTCCGTTATCATTTGATATTCTCTTTTTAAAATTGACTCTAAAATGGAGGCATGTGATTAGCAGTCAAATTGTAGAGATAACAACAAGAAATGAGAAATTTAATTCTATTTTAGTTCAGGGTCCCCCATATGAATGCCTTTCTTTTTCTTGTTTAAGATTCTTTTAGAAGCACAAGATATGGCAGTGAGAGACCACAATGTGGAATTCCGATCCAATTTGTATATAGGTAAGATCTTTAATATTTTTAGCATTAGAAAATGTCTTCTAATAGTGATGCCAAGTACTTTATCTAACAATGGTCTTTGATATCTAATCACTTAGGACTGAGTGTGCCGGTGAAAATTGCTAGTAATAGTTATTCTTCAGCCTTTAGCGTGCTAATGTTAATCTATTGTAAATGATAATAACCTTAACTGCTTTATTGTTACCTGTTCTCTAGTGAGACTGATCATGAAACCCGTTGCCAATAATTTTTGAATAATGGATACCAAGATGGTACATATAGTAGTCCTTTAATCATAGTAAAACCAAGAAAGAACATAACTGATTTTTTAAAAAAATGAATTGTCAGCCCGAAGGAGGTAAATAAATGATCCCAGGTAGACTTAAAAAAATCTATATAATGTGCCAAGCCAGGTGCCTAATCCGTAAGAGTGTCCTATAATTTAACCTTCCAATTACCAGAATGGAAAATCTGTTGATTAAAAAAGCCAGGGGACCTTGGAAGGCTCAGATGACTCAAAAGTGTTTGTTTCCCTTTGGTGTTACATCGTGAAGCATTATCTCTGGTTTTGTTTGCTTGTTCCACATCAAATTAATGTAAGTGAAAATGCTTTAGGAAACATTTGTACAAAATGTAAGGGATTTTTTTTTTGTAGTGTACCTTCACAAAGTTCTTTTTCTAGAAAGAGATTGACATTTATTACAAAGCTCTCTGGCCCCCTCCCAGCGCCACAGTAAAGTGGAGCAGTAGGTGGAGGTAATGTTTGCCTCTCACTCCAGCAGCAATTACTCCTGACCTCAGCAGTTTTGTAATCACACAACGATGCTGATGTCGAAGCAAAATTTTCTCTATCTGCCAAACCTTCATATAAGAACGCTTATTTTATCTAAAGGTATTTTAAATTCGAGATATGGGGAACTGCTACTCCAAACAGAGGAAGCAAGGGTGAATCGTTATGGGGGAAATTAGTTATGCCTTACAATTTTTCAACAATTAGATGCTTAAAAAATCATCTAAATTCTACTTTGTCACATAATCTCTGTGCTACTAGAGTTATTTATTCTAGTTAAGTTAAAAATTTCACCTCAACTGACCTGGAATTGATGCTACGACCACACCTACTTCTGAAATTCAAATGAGTTATGATTTCCAATGGCAGTATCTTATTTTAAAGCTGAATCTTCTATAAACATATTCTGATACATGCGTGGATGCAGGGGGGCAATCAACATGGCAACTCAGAAGATGCAGGCCCACAGTAGTTAATCATAAGCATCTTCTGGGAGCAGCATGAATTAATAATCCTGGGAGGACCCGGAATCAGTGGAATGGGTAAAACGGATAAAGAGCAAGACCATTTGCTTAAAACCTGTTGGTGACTTTTCCCGCTCTATAACTGAATATCAAATAAAATTTAATTAATTTTATTCAGTTTCATAGGAGTGTGGGCTTCTGAGCTGATAGATAACACTTTGTAATGGAATTCAGATACAAATGAAATAGACTTTGTCTTTAAATCCACTTCACTAATCGTAGTAGAGAGAGGTAGGATGAGGAGCTTATTGCTGTCCTCCCAGGTGAATGAATACAGCCCAATGTTGCCATTAAGCAAAAATAAACTTAACCAACCCTATATGAATGGGCCTTTAATTCATCGGTCTCTTTAAGCACATTACTGCTGAAAAGTCTCTGCCCCACCTGTACCCTCTTTTCATCTAGTTCTGTGTAAAAATCTCTTATGTAGGGCTCATAGTTTGGATTTGTCTTATGATTTTAAAAACTTATCTGCTAAGTATTTTGTTGCCTGATTTCATTATGAATGAAAAAGAGATGAGTACACTTCGGAAGACGCAGTACCTCACCATGACATACTAGACATTTTGCCCTTGTATTTGCCAAACTTCCCCGATAAGAATCATCTGAAGTTCTTATTAGAAATAGGGGTTACCAGACCTCACCACGGGCTGAGGGGATCTGAAACCCCAGGGGAGAGGCGTGGCGAAGTACCTTAGTGATCCTTACCTACAAAATGTGGGAGACTGATTATTTTTTTATTTTACTGTCTTCTTGGAAAAGACCTAGACATTTCATGCCATAGATTTCTCATAGAGTTTTGAAAAACTAGCTCCTTGTTGTCTCCCCTTTCAGCTCAGCAGAGGCTCTTTCAGACCCCTGAAGTAAGTATAGGCATTTTAAGGGAAGTGCTTTTTGGTAGCATATGTTCTCATTATATGGTAATTCCTTCGAATGCCTGTCATCAGTCTAAAGCTAATACCTGGTGTTGCATGACCACAGACTTTGAAAGTTCATTTCCTTTTCAAACTTATAATGATGACTAATGACACTGTGAATAGCCTTAACAAGTGGACATGGAATAATAAAATGTCACTGCTTAGTGATTCATGGCATCTAAAGTGATTCACTTTAGAGAAAGTGATCGACTGATGTTTTAAATCAGTCCTTTGAGCTAAGAGGGATGAAGTGGAGAGGGGAGGGTTTCTAATGTTAAAATGTCAAGGTTCTCATTTACCTAAATACTAGTAATAGGAAATATTGACAATATTTAAAATGCCTGGTACCTGTTGGGCATTATCTTTAGAAGAGCATTACCTTGGACATTATCTTTAGAAGGTTGTTCCCATTTTTGAGATGTCTTAATGTTTTTTTATTTCATTCAAAGAGTATTTGAGTACCTTCACTGTGCATACTACTCACACAGTTAGGTGATAGTTTATCTTTTACAGCAATTTAAAGCATTTAGCATATGCAGTTTCGTTCTTTGGCAGTAGTAGCCCTTTGGAAGAATACATAACTTGTTCTTCTGAGTTGGAACAAAACCAAGTACGCTATTCGTATTACATGTTTTTGGAAAACTTTGAAACTTATTTTAAAATTTGACCAAATTTACCAGAGATGTCTGTTATGAAAATATGATATTAATTAGCAGAGGATATATTTCAAAATCATTTCTATTCCTTGTGGTGGATGAACTTCTGCGGCAAAAGGAGTAGAAGTTTGAAGGGTGCCTCTTGACATCCCTCTAATCTGAAGTTGCCTCCCAACACCCCATTATCTCTGTCATATCACTGTTTTGTTTTGTTCACAGCACGTATCACTAAATGATCATGTTTATTTTCTGTCTTTCTCTGAAATGTACACAGCACGGAGGCAGGGCCCTTGCTAATCTTGTTCACTCTTATTTCTTGAACACCTAGAATAGAGTCAGGAGATACTTGTTTTAAGACAGGCCTGCTCTGTCTAGCCAGCCAGCCAGCACATGTAGTCTTAGAATCCAGCTGGGAAAGGTCAGAAATTGCTCAATCAATCGAGCTGTAGGCTTTCTTGTGGATACAGTCATTTCCTATAATTCTCTTTTTCTTCCCTGTCTAGCTGAGTCCACCTCAGGGCGAGGCCAGTACCTGAAACGCATTCGATACCACGGCAGAGGTCGCTTTGGGATCATGGAGAAGGTCTATTGCCATTATTTTGTGAAGTTGGTAGAAGGCCCCCCACCTCCGTGTGAGGCACCAAAGACGGCAGTCACCCACGCCAAAGAGTATATTCAGGAGCTGCGGAACCGGACCATCATTCACACCCTATGAGGGGGGAATTCAGACTCCACACTGTATATAGTTTGCCATTTATTTCCTAAAAACAAATAGTAATTAAAGACAAATGCTTTTTATAATTTGTCATTGAATTATTGACATACAAAGTATAACAGCTAGTTTTATATGATTATTCATAAGATCGTCCATCTCTCTTGAGCTTCTGGGTATGTTTTATGCATTTGCAACTTGGAAAGGAGAATCAGCTTTAACTAGTAACAGACTATAATTCAGAAGGCTTTTTTGAGTACCCTTTGAAGGGAATGTTAACTTTCTAACTAGTGTCCTGCAGGTGGAAGTTTTGATATTGGACTCGAGTGGAATGTTATCAGATAAGAAAGCTTGTCTGTGTTTCACGTGGTCTTCTCTTGGGAATTGAGGAGGGAGTGGTGGAGATGAGCGTAACTGCATGTTGTCTCATTGCAGAATTTTAGGGCATTCTGTGGTTCTGTTTTTCTTTTCACTGTCAGTATAGGATGAGGGATTATATTTTCTTTTACTGTTTAGCAGTAACTTGAAATTACAGGAGTTTATTAGATATATTAATCTAAAACTCCAAAAACCCTTTAACTCAGAAAGTTTTCTTGTTTAATAAAGACTGTTTTCATGTCTCCTCCTAACAATGCTTTCTGTTGCTTGGATATCTTGTTTAGGATTGATTTATTTGTCAGAGTGAATTCAATTACTGAGAGGAATCGAACCAATCTCAGCATTGCATTCTAAAATGAGGCAGTAGGTGGCACTCACTCACCTCTTGTTAGCGGAAAATTGTTAGCATTGAATTAGAGTGTTTGGCACTACCTGGGTCTCACTGATACGTTTGTTTTCGTTGACAAGAAACACCCTGTCCTCAGCCCTAGTCCAGTGTTTCTCACACTTTTTTCTGTACGCAGAGGAAGAACCTGGGTGCTTGCTTATTAATATAGGCTTCTGAGTCTTGTCCTCATGATTCCGATTCACTGGGTCTTGTTCCAGATATCTGTGTTTTAAACAGGCATTTCCAGGTGATTCTCTTGTAGGGGACCACATTTTGAGTACACTCCTCTAGTTGAATGAAGAATGTTGTTTTAGTGCTATGTTTTAAGATGTACTATTTACTGGAACCTTATTTGCCAAGCTCTGTGCTAGTGTTATTTTACATTACTTCACAACATTGGGCAAACGTAGGTATTGTTTGGCACTTTATAAAGGAATAAACCAAAGCACACAAAATTTCAATAGCTGTCTTGGGGTCACAGAGCTTGTGAATATTGCCTGGTTCTGCTTACCTACTGAATTTACAGATTTTTTTTTTAACCTACAATTCACCAAATGTGTGGGTAAAAGGGCAAAGGGTTCAGTGGAATAATCCACTGAGGTTTAAGATGGATCCATTCTGGAATCCTAAGCCATTATAGCATGGAGTCATAGAAATAACATGAGTGGTAAAGACGACCTTCATTCTAGTCCTGGCATACTCAGAAACCAGGGCAAGAGCCTTTCCTTCCCTGTATTCTGTTTCATTCATCTGGAAAACGAGAGGCTCAGTGTTCTTTGTAGACTACCTTCTTCAGAATCACTTGAAGAACTTGTTAAAAAATGCAAATTCCTGGACCTTACTCTCAGACCAAGTGAATCAGAATCTGGTATGGGAGATAGGAGGCTTGCACTTTGAACAAATGCCCCAGTGATGCGCATGCGGGAGAAACGCTAGACCAGAGGGTCTCTGCTGTCTTTTAGTATAGATGCTCCATGATTCTTAGCCTTGGAATTTTGACTTGCTTGGGTGTGACTAAAACAAGCCAGGTGGTGATATGGACTCCATAACTATAAAGTGTGTAAATGAAGGTACTGCTTCAGTCTGGCTGTTAAAGCTGTTCTGAAAAAGTTAAGGACAAGATTCTAATGACCTTGGATTCTAATGAAGGAAGTTTACTTGTGATCTAAGCTTAAACCCTCATTGGGAACTGCTAATGTGATAAAAATGTGTAATGATAGCTAACATGTAGCAGTATGTACATAGCACTGTTATAAGCACTTTCTATGCATTATCTATGTTGATAAATCTTCCCCATTGTGAGTGATACAGAGTACATCTGGTTGGTTTCCATGGCTGAGAGTGCACTTCCTAACACATAAGAACATTTTGGTCCCGACTTTTGAAGTTTAATTTTACGTGTTCAGAAACTAATGTCTATTAATTATTCCTTATTGGCAATTCTGAATGCTTGTAATTTCCTTCTTTTTTTTGTCAGAGAATTATGATAGGCTTAAACTTTTTTGTCGGAGTGAAGCACCTTCAGAAAGTGTACCAGTCACAAGTATATGGCTCAGTAAATGATCAACTGGTGAACACGCCCACGTAACCAGCTGAAGAACTAGAACATGATAACAACCCTGAAGTTCCCTTCATGCCCTCTCCTAGTCACTGCCCTTCTCTCTCCCCCAAAGGTAACCGTTATCCTGACTTTTAACATATGATAGGTTTTTTGAAAAATGTCTAGCTTTTTTTTTTTTTCTACTCAACATAATTTGACAACCGTTGTATGCCTGGCTCTGAGGCTGTAGGCAGTGAAAGAGGAAACAGCCCCAGCCCCCTGGAGCGCACACTCTTGTGGGAAAGACAGACTGTAAATCAGTCATTGCATTTTTTGTGCTGAATATTATGCAAGTAGAGGAACAGGGCTATATGAGTAGGTATCGGGGCACCCTGAAAAATAGCTACTGCTTTTTTGGGGGGAAAGTTTATTTCCTGAAAGAGATAGAATGAGGAGAAAGGGTAAAAATGACAAATGTGTGAATTAATAAAGAGTTGTGTATTCAGGATGCCCACTTGGGTTTTGTTTTTAACAGTATAAACATTAGGACCACCTCATCCTTCCACAAATTAAGGTGTCTGCAGGATGTGAGATGCTAATGAGAAATATACTATCTTTGGAGCTGACTCAGATTTACCAAACTTTATAAGGTTCCCATTAAGCCCAAGGGGAAAGACGTGAAGGATAGTGCAAATATCACAAAATAAAATGGACGTGTTTTTCTGTAAGCGATAAAAGTAATTAGATTTTCCCATGCATTTCATTTTAATACAGAGGTTAAAATAATAATTTTAGTTAATTAAGCAGGGTTCATCGTATATGTGGGTTTAAAACTGTTTTGGAGTAGGTCAGCTTCCAGACAGATTGAAAAGCAGGAGAAAGTTGTATAGGTGACATCGTTAACTGAACACTTCTAGGGATGGCATCTCTTAAGCCCCTGTCTTTGAAGTGACTGTCTAGGTTCAGATCTCTGCATGATAAAGATTTTAACCTTTCTTCTTAAGTCAAACCAGCCTATTATAAACTTTGTTAATGTATAACTTAGGGTATAACTGTTATATGAAATCACAAATACGTTGCACGGGAGAGAGGAGATATTGGTAAGTGAATCACACTTGTGCACTGAAAATATTTTTTATGTTTGTCCAATAGAAACTTGAATGAATTATTTTCACTTATGGCCCAAGGAGACTCATAAAAATTCCACTCTGGAAAGTAAGGGACGGCAATATTAATTTGAAACAAAGTGGAATTTAAGGAAAAGATATTAAACGAACCTAAGAGTTGTTTAATGAACATATGGAGGAACATATTCTGAAGTCAATTTGAGAAAATTTCTAAACCTCCTGAAGGTCATCTGTAAGTTCAAGTATCCATAGTGGACCCCAGGGTAAGGAATTCAGATTTAAATTATCTGTTTTCACCATTTCCCTCTATCCATGCTCTTTGCAATGTGACTTTGCAGCTTCTCTTATTAAGGAGGTGGAGTCTGTTTCCACTTCTTGAATTTGGGCTGATTTTATGACTTCTTTAGCCTACAGAATATGGCAGAAGTGACAGTTTGCAAGGTTTTCAGCCTAGACCTTGCTTGCTGCTTCTTTCTTGGATCTCTGTTTCTACCATGTAAACATGCCGAGGCTAATCTGCTGGAGGATGAGAGACCATGTGGAAGAGACCTGGGGGCCCCAGCGTATAGCCAACCAACCACTAAACATGTGAGAGAGCCCAGCCCACATTAGTACAGCTGCCTACCCAACCCCAAACTGACTACAGAAGCATGAATGGGCTCTGTTGAGACTAGAAAAATCACCACAAACTGACCTTGTAGACTCATGAAGAATAATAAGTTCCTATTGTTTAAGCCACAGATCTGAGGTGGTTTGTGACAATAAAACCTCTGATAGGTATTTCAAACTATTCTACAGAGAATACCTATCCTTTTCAAATGACTGTAAGAATTTGTAAGATAGCGTCTAGGTTTAACACAAAGAAGACCTCAGTAGAGTCTCCTAAATAGAAATTATGTAGACCACTTCTTAAAATTATACTGCCCTAAAACCAGAAATTTGTTCTTAAAGTTAATTTAAACAATCTACTTATAATAGAACATTCCTAACTCTTGGTTCTTTGAAAAAAATAAAATAGATCCTGTGAGTCCAATTAAATACAAGTAAAAATAATTAGGCATGAGAAAAGGGCATAAGACAAACATACAGAGAAAATTAAGAACTCTATGTGGGAATATGCTGGATTATTCCATTGCCCACTGGTTGACCTAAAACTAAATTTCCCAGAATCCCTTTCTCTATGATCCTGGGTTAGAATTGGCCGACAGATGAACTTGAGTACTATTTGGGAGTTGGAAGTGACGCTCTTGCAATCACTTTGGCATCCTGTTAACTGTCACAGTGGAGCCTCAGTCTAAGACCCCACACTAAGGCCGCAAGCTTCCCATTCCAACATCTCGCAAGACTAATTTAAGCAAAAGGTAATTATTAAAGAATATTAGATAGTTCACAGGATTTCCAAGCGGGCCCAAGAATTAGATTTTAGAGTCAGAAAAAAACTTAAAAAGACTTGTATTGGAAAGATTACCCTCGATGCTCTGGTCGTGGTACTAGGATTCCGCCTTAGCTGAATCTGGCCTAAAGGGCCAGATTCCTGTGCACTGTGCTTGCCAGACTATGTACTCTTCAGTCTATGATGGCCCCCTCACATTGTTCTCTTCCTTATCTGAATCTTGCAGAGGAATAAATGATTGGCAGAAAAGTCGTATGACTGAC